TTACCTCTCGTCTGAAGGACAGTGCATTTTTTGCAGTATGTCCCTGTCACTATACTGGGGTGTTAGGACCCACATAGTCCAGTGGGTGAGTGCCCCCTGCTGGCCCCTCTAACACCTTTCCAGCAGCAACCTTAGCTTTCCCAGGAGGTCTCCCCTCCTCACCTGCTGGGCTTCAGCGGGCTGCTAGTGTGAGCTGCGGGGTGATATGTCTGCTGGCTATCTAACTGTCATCTGCTAATCGTGCTACCTGGATGAACGTGTGTCACTCCTGTTCACTGCTCTCTGTGTTTCTGTTTCTCAGCCCAGGTTGCTGTGCAGCAGCCCTAAGGTCGGCTCAGGCGGTCTCAGCCCCGGCGCACGGGGCCCCAGCAGTCCCTGTTTCAACAACAAGGAGAATGTGAGTGCGGCCTTGTGTTTCTCTGGTTGTCCAGGAGAGTGTTCTGAGGTTCTCAATCTTGGGGAAAATGCAAATTGAAGAGCAGACTACACAGCACAACTGCATTGTTTCATCAGACCTAGGTAACTTAAGGCGAACGTAAACACAAAAGTGTAATTTTCTCATTATAATTATAGAATTCTAATGTTAGGTGTAAAGAACTGGTCTTCTTCAGCGATTCTGAGCAGGGTTGCGAGACCAGATTTTGAGAACCAAAGGGTGCAGCTGCATTACTGGTTAGGACCCAGTGTCTCTGGGAGAAGCCTGTGCCTTGCTGTAGTTCTCCACGTGGGCACCAGAGGGTAGTGTTGGCTGTGCTACAGGCCACAGTCTCATCCAGAGCCACAGGCCTCCCTGAGATGAGGTTTTGTGCAGGTTCTATCCCGAACACTGCAGGGCACACTGGTAAAGGACATTGTTGACCCATAGCAGTGTTTTCTGATGGAGCTCCTAGAAATTTGAAATCAACCTTTTCTCTGCCCCGGACCCGTGGTTCTGACCCGTGGTTGCGTGTACTCCAGGTCCAGGAGACCAGGCCGGACTGCGAGGTGGCCGGGCTGGGCAGTCCCATCTCCTGCGGTCCCCCTTCCTCCCCAGTCCTGATGCAGTCTGACGAGCAGGATGGGTTTACAATGGTCTTGGATGAGGTAACACACTGGAGTGCAGGCTGGGGGCAGACCCTTGGCACCTGTGAAGGGGGGGGGGGTCTCTGTATGGCTGTGGAGGGTGGGGCTGTGTCACCAGAGGCGGGGCTCTGTAGGGCAGTGGAGGGCGGGGCTCTGTAGGGCAGTGGAGGGCGGGGCTCTGTATGGCAGTGGAGGGCGGGGCTCTGTCAGCAGAGGCGGGGTTTTCAACATCAAGCGTCGTGCCTCTACTTTACTTATTTAGGTTGTGTAGAAGACAACAAAGGCTCTTTCTGCAGTAAAGTCCTGCATTCTTCATGAAAATAGAGCATTTCTTGCTCTTGTTTCTACTGTGTCCTCTTCACTGTGTTGATGTCTTATCTGCTGCCTACACTGCTCAGCGAAGTGTTTTGACCTCTCCCCCTCTCAGAGCTGTGGCAACCCCCACATGACCTCCAGCATGGCCCGGCTGCTCTCTGACCCCCTGATGAGCCAGGAAGTGGAGGTGTCCTGGGTAAGCACCACTGCAGCGGGAGTGTACCTCTCAGAAAGAGCCACAGCCCCCCGCTAATCTCGCTCCTGCCCCCCCCCAGCTCCAGCCCCAGCCCCCCCGCGGAGGCAGTCGCAGGCTGGTCCGGTCGCCCTCCATGCCGGAGCGTTTGGACCGGCCTGTCCTGAAGAGAGCGCCGGCCCCCCCCGACCCCGGGCCCGACCCCTGTCCCCTGGCCAAGCGCTGGCGCAGCACGGCCCCCATCCACGAGGAAGAGGAGGAGGAGGGAGACGGCAGGAAGAGAGGGGTACGAGGAGGGGCGGGGGGTGCGGGTGTCATGGCGGACAGGTGGGAGGGAGGGGATGGAGGATGGGTGGGGGGGGGCGGGGATAGAGGAGGAGGGACAGAAGCAGAGGCGTGGGAGTCAGAGTGGTCTTCCTCTCCACAGCGGCTCCTGAAGAAGACCCTGTCTCTGTCCGACGTGGAGACGAGAGGGGAGCCCGGAGACTTGGGGCTCATTGGGGACTTCAGCAAGGTCAGACAGTCCCGCTGTACTCCCGACTCTCAGCCTGCCACACTCGGGGTGTGTGCGCGCGCATCTTCCTGCGCGTGTGTGTGTGTGAGCGCGTTTTCCTGTGGATACGTGTGTGTGGCACCTACAAGCGCACATCTCGGCAGCAGTGTGCAGCAGGGCTCAGGGTTCACGTCTCTGGGAGGCTGAGGGTTCGAACCCCAGGTGAGACCCTGATGCTATGCCCTCCAGTGAGGCAACTGGTCCAACTAAACACCCGGCTGTGTCGGTGCTTCTGTATAAAGATACCAGTCCAAGAAATTAGTCCTGTTAGTCCTGCTCGCAGCTCCTGAGAGCTGGCAGGAGTTTGTGTCCGGCTGGCCCCCTCACAGCTGTAGAGGGTGGTGCTCTGGGACCTGGGAGCGAATTCGCGGTCTGTCATTCCTGACCGAACCAGCCTGGAGCCACTCGGCGACAGTGCTGTCATCTGTGTGAGCGCTGAGCCGCTGACCAGCCCTCTGCGTGGGATGGAGAAGGAAAAGGGCAAATGAAATGCCTGAATAGGTGCTGAGAGGTGGGGCACCGATTTGGTGTCAGAATTGTATAAGGCGCTAGTAAGACCACATTTAGAATAACTTCTTTCATAAAGAAATTTAAGAGATTACTTCACTAAGAGAAACAACCAGATACATTCTAGGACTTGTTCAGAATCTTACAGTGGAGGCGCTATTGGAAACTACAGGGAGCAGCATTTACAACTGAGAACTGGAGGCACCCCTTTACACAAAGGGTGGTGGGAGTGTGCTACAAGCTGACCAACTGTGTTGAAACGGGTACCCTGCTAAAAAGCTGGATGAGATGCTGTGATGGACCACTGGCATTCGAATAAGATGAATGGGCTCCTCTGTTCTGTGACCTTGCTGTGGTTATTAATCCGTTTGCACACCCCTCTCAGCGCAGCCATGGTCTTAAAAGCAGCACTTCCTTTTCTGACCACTAGAGGTCGCCGTTGCTCTAAAGACCTTCAACTTGAAAAAAAATCCTTGTAATCTTTGTAACGAGGATGTGAGAGGCCATGAATCGCAGTCTCTGGGCTTTACCCTCTAATACCAGCTAGATGCTGTTCGTAGAAGGTCAAGACGAGGGAACCGAAATAGTGATCCTACGAACTCGTCATGCAATGCGCTACATTTTGCTTGAGACCCAAAATTAACTTTTGCTTTGCAGGGATAAGCTTTAGTTTACTGCATGTATGCCAAAAGCCATTCCTCATCAATATCACTAGTGACAGAGCTGAGATTTTATTTTTAAGATTATAATTTAACTTG